ATGATGGATTAGTAAGGTTCAACGGGGGAGTCAAATCTGCCTCAGCATCACAAAACATGTTTTCCTAACCAGTTTGAACAAATGGTGTTTGTCGACAAGGCAATTAAGCATTAAATAGTGGAAACACATTTGTCAGATTAACCTGAAAGGATTGGGAAGGCTTGGCAATATGTGCAACTGCTTAGCCGTCACTTCATATACGGAGGGAGACAAATCTTTCCCTCTAGTTTATCTTCTGACCTTTTTCTCCATCTGATGAGGTCAAACAGACCCGGAGAAGATACGGCTGACCCAAAGAAAGGTTAAGGTCATTTGAAAAACGTCCAATATATAAAACATCAATCTCCCAGAAATGTCAAACTTGCTGTTTCTGGGTTGTGGCTCTCATACATCACTGATGTTTTTTGGATCGCTTACAACAGCTGACTGTTCAGAAGGTCATCGTCGTCATCATCTCAAACTCATTTTAAATTATATGTGGATTTAAAAAATAATGAAATCTACATTTGAGCTTGAACAAGAGGCTTGCTTGGCTGATGTGTTTCTCTGTCTCTCGTCACTGTCATGCTTTTATACCATCCACAAACTCTCCCGGTGACGCTCTTCCTCCCCTGCACTTTTCCTGTCTGTGGGAAGCGTACGGGTGCTGCCTTATGTCTGAAGCACTGAATCGTACGCACGCAGACAAAAATAGACGAGGAAAATGGCTGAGAAAATCGAAGTAGCTCCAGTGTCAGGACACAGAATCCGGCCACAGAGGGTTGCCTGTCTCCAGCTCTAAAACCTCATAGCATGACTCTCCTCCACAACAACAACAATAACCACAACAATGGGGAAAACAGCGCTGCACGGCACAGAGTCCTTTCCTGTGAGGGACTCGGCTTCCACTCGACTGTTTGACTCTTTGAATAATTGTGGTTAAGTGAGGTCTGATTTTTGTTTTTCTCACACTAGCGTGGTTGACAACAAGAGCTCAGCATTAACACTTACACAAGTGAACAAAAGGCCCTACAGCTCCAGACACAAAACAACTGAACAATAAATTCAAAGCAGTCCGGTGCTGTGAGTCAGTCCTCGTGGCAATTACAGCCTAAATGCTTTGCCCAAAACAAAGCCAACTCTGAGGGTGTTCAAAACCCTCATAGAACATGTGAGTCAATCCCGACAAAAATATGCTAAAGGAACAAGAGGTGAATCAGCAATTTGCAACAAGTGCTTTGACAAGCTTGTAGAGCAACACGTGCAGCTTTGATCTGATTCCCCTGCCTGTTGAGTGACATCACATGCGTTACAGAACTGCTATGAACACAAAAGGAAATTGATTTTCTATAGCTGGGCTAAGTTTAGATCCAAAAATGTAGTATCAGGAAAAATTCAGAGCTCAGGTTCAAATAAATCCTTCTCAGTAAAGGTGTGGAGAGCTTCATCATGGTGTTTAGAATAAAGGCGCCAAGGTTAGAGAAGGATTGTGGTCAGAAATGCAAACATTTACTTTACATTGGAAATGGTAAATGAAGAGTGGCCGCCAATCCATCCACCCCAACCTCCTCCCTGTGCTGATTTTGACACTCTGTAACAGACATGGGGCATAAAGTAAATTAAGAACTACACTCTGCATAACTCAGTGGAAACATGGTAACAGGTCACAATGAATAATATGAAAAATTCCATCTAAACTATATATACATATATATCAAGATGTATATAAGTCTATCTCCGGCCATTTGTCTAATCTGTTTCAACACTGCATGGGTCAGTGATGAAACACTGTTTCCTCCTATTAAAAGAGTTTTTCCTTCCCACTTTCTCAACATGGGCCTGACTATATTGTATTGTCTTTACCTTACAATAAAAAGCTCCTTGAGACGACTGTCTCAAGGTGCCACATAAATACATTTGGATTGAACTTAATGGGTGTTTGACTGTTGTTAATATATTTCTTTTGTGCCTTACAGTATTAGCAAAAGTGAAAAAAAATGTTCAACAAAAAAAAATGTATGCAAATAAAAGCACCCACACGCAGCCTGGTGTCACCCGCTGCTCTGGAGGGACCAGCAGAGCGTCGCGGGTTTATGGGATTTGTAGTGTTTCTATGTGGCAGAGCATGGCATAAACACAACATTGGCGGCATTCTTAACACGATGGGTTAATCTCCTGTATATGCAGGTCGTGGTTTTGTATGTGTGTGTGCTGCTGAAGTGTATTCACAAACAAATTTGTATGCAGCCTTATCAGATGTGTAAAACATGGCCAGAGGCATGCTGGGTAGAGATGTTTATGCTCTTGACAAGTCTGAACTCTTTTGTATACACAGACAGGCTAAGGCTTGAGTGTCTTTGTGTGTGTGTGGTAACAGCTGAAAAACAGTGTGTGTGCTTTCAGGTGTTTGTTATTGTTGAGCATGTGTTTGTGTAATGGTTGGACTATGTGAAGGAGTGTAAAATTTACTGTATATGTTAATGTACTGTATACATTCACGAAAATGGTAACTCTCTGAGTGAGTTACTTAGTTTACTCTAAGTGTGCTCTGTTTACACAAAGAGCGGAGACGAGTAACCTAAGCAGAGACAAGTCCCAACCTCACGCTGTCCCACTGTTACCATATGTCAAACTGCGTGTCTCAGATTTACACCTTTTTTCTTTTCCTAACAAATACCTAATCCCCTAAGGGCCCAGCAGGAAACACAGTGGCTTCATAAGAAAGACAGTCTCAGATGATCTGCTCGAAAACAGGGTGGTGCAGTGAAAGCACGCTGGGCTCGTAACTCATGGATCAAAACATTTCTTTTTTAACTGTTTGTCTTGGCAGTTGATTAGAGATTTCAAACACTCGAGGAACTCCATTAGCAATTTAGTGTTCTTTGGGTAAACTCTCCCTTCCAAGAACACCCATGAATTTCAAACTCCAAGCCTCTAATTTTTAATGCAGACTTTTCACGAAAACCTTGCAGTCTCAAGAGTATTAGGTTCGTGGGCTGAAGTCAGGGCCAAGGAGGAGCCAGTTTTCTGCAGAGGAGTGTTTCATGCTCGATACAAGCCCACTTCTTTTATGATGGTGGAAATTAGATAAAGGAAGCAAGTTCTAGCTCTCATTCAGTTTCCTCAGGAATCCAAACATCTGTCCGTGGCTCCAGGATCTTCATCTGGACTGTTATTGCAGACACACCCGTGTTAGATGACATTTAATGAAGACCCGAAGCCATGGCCCCTGTAATTCATTGGCAGCAGAAATTCAAAAATGTTATTTATTCAACAATTAATTTCACTTTGTTTATGCAGCACACTGCGAGGTTTATGTGTGCTAAATGTGCAGTAAAAACAAAACCGATTTGCTTCATCCTCCTACGCCTTCCTTTTTTTAAAACCTCACCATGCTTTCCTCTTTCTACCATCCACCCTTTCCTTTTCATAACTTCCAATCAAAATATGAAATGACTAATTCTGAGCTGTATGGGCAGAGGCACCTTTAAAGAACATAATCCCACCCGCCCGCCACAGAGGACTAAAGGTGAAGTAGGAGTACATGAATATTAAGTTTCCACTCAAATAAAATAGGGAGCTTCATTTGTAAAAGGCATCCTCTACATAGTTTCTGTACTCTCCACCACCACATTATAATGGTAAAGATAGAGATACCCTGGTGCAAGCTTCGGACCTACTGCTACATAAAATAGTGTGCGGGGAGCTAGCAGTAGCAATGAATTTACAGGCTGTATCATCAACTGCAGTTATTTACTAAAGCTTTCTACTGAGGCACAGTTACATCGATGTTGAACTGTTGATGTCTTCTATGAATAAATAAAGATTTCTGTAGTAAAATATTTAAATCGCTAATATTGTAGCTCTGAATTCAGCTAAACATAATTTCCTTAGAGATCAATAAAGTATTCTGATTCTGATGAATCAACCCAGTTACTGTGGTGGTGTCTTTTATTGATGTTTTAAAGCTTGCTGATTGCCCATTAACATTAATGCCACCGTTTTTTAAGAGACACTCAGAGTTGTGCATCTGCACATCTGTGAGCGACAAATTCACACCGGCAGCGTCCAAGTTCACAAATTCAGCATCTCGCACCTCTCACAGACCTGCTGCTGCTCGCACCCACACTCAGAGCTGACCGGAGGACTCTGATGTGAAAATCCTCGATAACGAATAAACCCATTGCAACGAATGTTGCCGTGGTAACCAAGGCTGAGGCACGAAGACAAACCCAAGGTGACCGACAGGGCTGTTGGTCACCGTGGTAACAGTGGAGCTATGAAGGCATTTACTGAGGCAGTGGTTTTTAAGTTTCCTTAAGTGTCTGCGAACTCACATGAAACACACAAACACACACACACACACTGGCTGAGTGTCTGAACTCAATTCCTCTTTTATGAAACATTCAGGGACAGACCTTCAGCTGTACGACCAGCGGTTAAGACCTGTCGGATGTGATTTTGTTTTAGCTTTAATGTGATGTTTTGCCTTTTGATGCTTTCATGTGTGTACTCACGGAGCTGGTCGAAATGTGTCTGTAAGCCATCTGGTCCTGGGACTGAACAGACCATTCGAGCCTTCTGGAAAGTGCTCCACTTATTGACTAAACTCCTCTGGCCTCCGATGTCGTTCTACATGAACATTACAAAGAACTGAATTAGATCTACTATGATTACAGAAGTAGCAAACATACAAACATATGAACATTGCATATTTAAGCTGGCGAAGAAATTCACGCACACACAGTAACATTGGCATGAAGCTCGCCACGCTGCCAAGACTGCTTGCAATTATGGACAATGACTCCCACCCCCTCCATAACACACAATGTGAAGAGCAGTTTAAGCAACAGGTTCCTTTAACCTCGCTGTCTGAGGGATGTTACAGGAGGTCGTTCCTTCCCGCTGCTATCGGGCTCTTTAATTCATCCACTTGGGTCAGATCACACATGTGGAACAGAATTAATCACACCTCACCTCTGTCACTTTTGTACATGATGACATATATTTGAGCACCTGCTTGTCCTTTGATATTTATACCTATATCTCTATATTTATCTATTTATCTTAATATTTATCTATCAATATCTCTGTTTCTACACTCTTTTTATACGAGTGTTTGATGCTTATTGTATATTTGCTGCTATGACAACTCAATTTTCCTCTGGGCTTTATAAAGTCTCTCTGATTCTAACAAAGCCATGAATGTGCAAACGTGTCCACACAGAAAACACACACAACAGTGGAAGACGCAGTTATTGTGACAAACATAAACAGTCCCTCATACATTTCAGTGATATGCAGATACACAGTTGCCTGCTCTAACACACACACTGACCAAACAGCACGTACATACCTTCCCATGGAGGTAAACGTGTTTATGTAAGCTACATGCAGACGTGTTCTGATGAGAGTGTCCAAACTGCACAAACCCTATCTATGCCAAACAAACATGTCGCATACCTTGCACACACGTGCCACTCTGGAGTAGAGCACCTTCCCAGCAGCACCTTCCGCCTCCTGAGCGCGTTCGGTGAAGAACACGTAAACCTTATCATCTTCTGGATTATCAGTTTCAGACAACGGCGCTACCCGCACAAACTGGGCATCTGGAGGAAAGCACCACAGACACACACACACAGGCAAATTATAAGAAATCAAATGTAATACAGTCCGGCTACACTGATACAAATGTAATTTGCAGCGCAAGGAATAGAGAAAGAGCAAAGGGATGATTAGGGAGAAGTCGAGTTTCCAAACAGCAGGGAGTCAGTATATATCGCCTTGTTATCAGCAGCAGACGTCGATACACAGGAGCCTGATAAAACACCAAGCGGGTGTGCAGGATATGATTTTAGAGATGCTCAAAGATATTCAGTTTACTTCAGAAAATTCAGTTCACAAAGTACACACACTGAATGTGCTGCACACGTTAACCGTGACTTGTGATGTTTTCTTGGCGGAGAATTTGACAAAATTTAGTGTTTTAGTGATTGTGTTATCGTAAGGAGCACATTCTCAACTAACTTCTAATGTCAGATGCAGTTCTGAGTTGTTCAACACAAAGGTAGACTTCAAAAAGGAAGTGGTGCTTTTCTGCACTTACCCTGCAGCCAGGTGGAATCGTACTGCTCAGTGCGGATGACACGACGGTTGCCAAGACTACGGAAGAAGGCAGAGTCCCGGCTCATGAAGTCTGAGGTGATGCCGGCATACAGCTCTCCATCTACACAGAATACACAACAGTATTCTCATCAGTAGTCATTGAAAGACATCCAAGTCATGGCTCTCCTGTTTTAGACATCCTCTAGAAATTATATATAACTTCCACAGTTTGATGAGTTTTATAACAGCAAAGCATCACTTTTGCTACAAACACAAACCCATTTTCCGTCTAGTTTTTCTTTGATAAAACACCTAATTATGCACATTTAGATAATTCCTTTCCACCTAATGGTTATATTTTGTTGTAGAGAAAATAAAGTGCATGATGGTGCGTGTACTGTTTATTAAAGGTGAGGTTTAAAGAAACAGTCAACTCACCAACGACTGCAGAGGCCGTTTTCTGGAATGGATCGTAGGGACATTTGCCTTTTCCGCACTCTGTCTGGCCGTAGGAGAGAGTCTGATGCTCTGACTGCCAAAGAAATCACAGACGTCACTCACACAGAAAGAAGACAGATAACAAAGCGGCCCTAATTTATATTGCAATCTCAAGTAGTTTATCCACTGATGCAGCAAATCATCCAGAAGCATCATAGCGGCGGTTCAGGTGGTAGAGCGAGTCGTCAAACAATCAGAAGGTGGATTAATCCCGACCTGCACCTGTCCATGTGTCAGAGCATCCTCAGGCAGGATACTGAACCCCGAGTTGCGCCTGATGTCACTGTCAGTTTTATTTCTACAGCACGTGTAAGCAACAAAGTAGACCAAAGTGCTTTACACAATAAAACCACAGATCAATATATTAAATACAGCAGAATAAAACACAAAACAAACAAAATGAATAAATATAATATGAATTATTATTATGAACTAAAACAAAGACAATGCAACATAAAAAACCTACACACGTGCATAAAAAGTACCAGTGCATATAGCACCATTTCAGCGAGCCCAACTACCCTGCCACACATGCACTCAGTGTCCACCTAACTGAGGGTAATCGGGCTAAGTGGAGGGATTTTAAAATGTGTGAAGCTCAATGTTAAACCAGTCAGCACCATCGGCACCTCTAAGAACCATGTCTGAACCTCTGCTCTGATCTTACATGGTCTTTCATGGGATTAACTGTTCTCTGACACACACACACACACACACACACACACACACACACACACACACACACACACACACACAACTAAGTGAGATGAGTGAGAAACTTCAGAACCAGCAGCCTATTTCTGGGAAAAAACGATAACCCACATGTGTCATTATGATGAGAAATTACACACCGACAACAGCAGGCAGGTTTGACCTCTACAGTTACATTCACCATCCATTGCATTTGACATACAAATGTCAAATAACATATCTAAGGTGTCTGGTAGCCCACACAGTGCAGCATCAGTGACGAAAGGAAATTTGACATATCACAAGGTGAACCCTTTTGGATATGTGGGCATAGGGGCAGACACCACATGATATTTCAGCTGCTCGTAGGCATGCGTATGGGGGCTTGAACTCGAAGTCTGAAAACAGACATATTGGTGGGTGGTAGGAAAATCAAGGCATCCAATACATTATTTCTATTTTTTAATGCAGACAGCCCTCAAAACCTGGATAAATGAGTAGAGCATCAGTGACGAACGTTAATTTGACATATCGCAGACTGAACACTATGCATCCACGGGCAGCACTGCAGTTAACATCAAAGTGCTGCTTGTATAAAATTGCAGAGAATGGCCCAACTGATTCTGATTTTGGATCAAAATGGAAAGAGTAATCTATGTGACTTTGAAAGAAGAGGTAACTGTTGTTGGGGGACTGATGGCTTCAGCCACAAAAATTGCTCGAGTGGCTGCTGTTTCAGAAGGATAAGTGACTAAAGTGGCATAAATGTGGGAACTACATCAGCAGACAGTTTGGAAATTACAGTTGACTGCACACATGATGACCATGATGGTTCTGCATTAGTGTGATAGGTAAGGAAAAATGTGAGGAACAAAAAGAGGAGCTTCTTCAGATTTCAAGGAGAGGGATTTGATAGCAGGGCTTCAGCGAATATCAGGTTTTGATGGTCTGCTTCACTTTTACCAGACCAGAAAGCTAGCAGTCTTTTAAACACAACCCATTCTTCAGCTTTATTATTTTAGGAGCAGCAGATTTAAGTCTGGTAGAGCTCACACCTCTACAGATACCATTTTTTTATCCAGCAAAGTTGCAAAAGAAAAAAAAATACATATTTTGCACCAGCATACATTACCTGTATAGTGTATGTAATTGTGTCTGTAGCATTACCTGATGAAAGACGCTGGTGGCTATGAAAGCACAGCGGGGGTTGAAGGCCCCGGTGCCGCACACATACAGGTGAGTCTGGTTAAAAGGCTGCAGAACACGCAGGAAGTTCGCACACTCCAGCTGGACAGAGAGAAACAGGGACCATAAAGTGAGGAATAATGGATGACACATGTTATTTTGCGCTGATGCTTAACTGTTTTCTATTACTTGTTTGAATATCAAACAATATGACTTGCACTTATTAAACTCTGGCACAACTGACAAATTTTCACACCTTTCATCTTGAGCTTATTGTGAAGTCAAGAAGCAAAAAAGTAGTCCTAAAACTTCAGATGTGACTGATTGTTCAGCACGCCCCACCAGACGTCTGCCAGTACTTGGATCAACTGAATCTTGATATGCCTGCCTGCATGAAAACTGTCTTGTTTGTTTAAAGTTCCCAAATGAATAAGATACATTCAGCTTTAGTTCTGCCCTTGATGGTAATCTATCATCCTACTGTATTGCTTTATTGCTTTATAACTCTAGACAGTTCTTGTATGGTATTATCAAACGGCAGTAGGGAGTAGAGAAAGGATGAAAACGGCTGATGTGGTTTGACACTGATTCCTATCTGCACGCAAATGTGTCCGAATGTAATTCTTTTCCCTGCGTTGCTTAAGTCAGGGTAACGAGGTTACTTACTTACTTACTTACTTACCCAATCTTAGTGTGTTTGCGTGTGCATCTGCGAGTGTGCATTTGATTACCTCTGGATCCTTCCCAGCCATGAGACATTCTTGGACGCGGTCCGGACTGGCTGGCCAATACAGCTACAGAAAGAAGAGAGGGGGAGAGAAAAAAAGAGAGGGACAAAGAGATTTCAGAAATGTTTTTATTGCTCACTCTACGTTTCCGATAAAGGGCTTCGGGGGATTGGCAGGTGCTTTATGAGGGAGCGTGGCAGGGATAGTCAACAGAACATGACTAATCTAGAAGAAAGAAGGAGATGATTTTCATACCTCTTAGCTCCAAACAGATAGTCAGCTTTAGGGAGGAGAAAAGAAAAAGCCAACTGGCAGCACTGCTGACTTCTGATAATGAGCCAAACTGCCAGAGCAGAGTACATGACTACAAGTATGACTAACTGACATACAATCCTGGCCATGCCTACACACTGTGAATGTGCACTGCAATGCAGCTATTATCACTCATCTAAATGACTAAATGACTGCTGATTACAATTACATGGCTGACAGTATTTATTCTGACTTTAAACCCAAAACATCGTGCTATTATTTGATTTGTGCAGTTATAACATGATGTTATTATGTTATCTTGCATCAACAGAACAACTGAAGCAGCCACTGTAAAGGGTCCAAGATGAACCAAACGGGGTTCTGGCTCCACAATTTTCTCTCTGTTGTGGTCACAGTTAGTTTCTTCTTTAACCAGCAGTTCTTATTGGACACGACAGGCTCTAAGACAGGGAATCAAACTTTCGGTGACTGAGTTCCAATTCAGGAAGTTAATGACTTAGGCCACATTAACCTGTGTCAGCGCGGCAGTTCTCAGACTTTTTCTGAAGATCGAAAAAACTCATGACCCATGCCCCACATTTTTTTATTGATAACAATCATAAAGACTCCATGTTGGATTTTACTTAAACAAAGATGAACGTTATCAGTGCGGCAGCATCAGCAAAGTCTTTATGAAGTTCCCTAAAAAAAACCCCAAAACAAGTCATATTCATTCACTTTAGTTTCACTTCATATTTTTCTCACAGACCTGTAGTCTGCTATGATGACTAAAGGAAGAATAGCTCTCATAGTCTCATCCTTTGCTGTTATATTATGATATGAACCGGAGATGAATGAAATACAGTCGTGCATTCCTTTCCTGCATCGTGTGGGCTGCCATAAAGCCCACACGATGGATTTTGAAGACCCTGGCTCAGAGGAAGATATATGGTATTTACTTCACTTTGTATGTGAGCTCTTTGAAAAGGGCTTCAAGAAGAAAATAAATGACATTGCTCCAAAAAAAATCTTTCCACACTGTGTAATGCACAAATGAGAGAGATCTGTGCCTTTTGTGAAGAGTCAGAGAATAATCGAGATCCACATGTCGATGTCTCTTTTTTTTCCCCGTTGCTGTTGTTTAAGCTGTGAGAATCAGTGTGGTGTAATAAACCCCTCAGGTTGCTAAGTTTTTTTCTTTGGGTCTGTTTAGGTTTCGTTGTGTGAGGTCATCCTGGGTTCAGGTAAGATAATCACACATGAAAAGGTACATTTGTAACGTGAAAAATGGATGACTTCACCGTTTAACAAACTAAAGCAATCAGAGAAGTGTTTGTCTTGCACTTGTTAGCTTAATTACATTAAACCACACTGTTTGCTTCAGTGTAAACTTAATCAGCGTATAATAAAAACTCTATAATGGAGAATGCTTTCATGTAAAGCCAGTAAGGGAGGAAACAACAGAGGCTGGGATGGTGTGCAGTGAGGGAGAGACTGCGAGAATGAGGTGAGCCTTAGTGTCAAATGGCTTCTACATGACTAATCTAAATATTTCCCTGAGACAGTCATTCCCCTGGAGAGCAGAACGGTGAGACCGAGATGCAATCGATACGATAAGCGAACGTCTGCACTTGTCGCTAAGTACGTGATACACAAACTGCTGTTCAGGTGTCAGAAGTAAATTCAAGACCTCAACTTCACACTGCATTAGGAAGTAAATGTATATATAAATTGTTACAAGTGCACTTTATTAATTAAAAAAACACATCTGTGCACTGATTGTAGTTTTTATCTCTCTTTTTTGTATTTGGGGTGAATGAAGATGTGAAGAAGTGACAGGAGCTTGTAGAAAGTGATTAATGACAAATGGCGGTGGTTTCAGGAAACAATTTCTGGATGTACACTAATTGTTCCACGATGCAGTCATTCCCACAGAGGCTGGTGCGGGGCTGAGACCATCAGATTAGATTAGAGACCACAGACCCCGTTTATCTCCGAATACCACACACTGACAGGAACACGGACCACCACTAAGGGAGTCTCAACAGGTAAAGACTGCGGTTAATGGGATTTTACCCCTCTGTGAAAAACATGCTGGTTGTCAGTTTATACAAAACAAAAGATGTAAATGTGGGTTTTTGTAAAAAGGGAACATATTTTAAAAAGTAAAAGGAACAAGGGGGGAAAAAAGCTAGAAAAAAAGTAAAATTTCTGTACTTTTGGAGTCGTTTTCAGAGCCGAGAGAAGATTCAAAACAGAGAAAATGAAAGGAGAGAAGAACAAATACTGTAAGCAAACAAAAAGCCGCAAACAAACATTTAAACCCCTGGTGACCCTTTGTGTTACAGCAGCTGCAAGCTGTTGACTCACACAGAAAGAATGGCCTGAGTATTTTTTTTTCCCCCGATCAAAGAAAAATGTGATTTAAATGTTATAATAAATTATAAGATCGTCTCTCTAAGCCACACTTTTTTTTTATATAACAGAAAAACCGCACGTCCACTGTGCATAAGTGTGGGCAAAGTCGGGAGGAGATAATATAAATAAAAACAGGATCCAGATTGTCTCAGGCAACATTGATAAGAAGCTCTGAGAAAATAAACAGAAATGTTGAGAACATGGCACTGAGTGATTTTAACACTGGGGGGGGGGACTGCACTAAGGCTGGAAAGGTACAAACAGCCTATAAATACTGGATGTACAAATATGTAACTTAACAGCCCGCACAGAGCTGAGTTATGATTTGACTGTGACTATCTATCCTTATGCTGGCTGACTGCCTGACTGAGTGGGTGGCTGGCCAGCGCAACTGATGGCTGTCTGTCGGTTTCGCTGGTTGTTTTTTTTTTTCTGCTCTTCTACCTGTTTGGCTCTCTGACAGCTTGCATGAACGTCTGACTGATGAGGGTATTGATTTGATCCGGCTGGGCAGGGTTAAGAAAGCCAGCACTGTTCTGTGTCCTTGCTGTGACCCTGAACTCTACCTGACTGGCGAGCCATTAACGTGGCTGTCTGGCTGTCTCGATACCGTGCTAAAGCTGCAGAATGAAACTAGATACTGTAACAAAACTTCCACATCTAACAGCCACCACGAAGGAGCGCCGCGTCTCGCAGCAAATCTTGGGTTGGTCGGAATATTATTGTGGCACTTCCACATTCCTGTGTATTGCTTATGTGCTGGGCAGAGTCTTCGTTTGACTAAGCTTCACTTTACTGATATGTGAAAAAGCTAATCAAATCAAATATTGACCCGCTCACTAGTGTATAAAATCTAGAGATGCGCTTGTGCAGTCTTTGCAAACCAAAAATATGTTGTGCAGCTGACCTCGTGCAGTCTGAAGCATAATACCTCCGTATTGGTGCCAACAGAGGCAATCGTGCCTTTGAGCAGTAAATGTGGAAAGCAGATAAAGTTAGGATGTAAGAAACGTGCATAACATAATTGTGGCTTTTATCAAATATGGACAGCTTGGCTGCCAAGGAGAAAGCTGAATAGAGGTGGAAATGTAGCACAGCCTCTTTCTGCTTTTTGAACACTGTTTCTGTCTCCATGCTAAATCGAAATGAATGGTAAGTGAATTGTTTGTTCAGCTAAGAACCACAAAACAGGGTCAGAGGAAGAAAAGTGGAGCTTTTGAATTTGCAAGGAATTTGACAAAGATAAGAGATTAGAGGGGATATTAGAAGGGTGTGACTTTCCTCTTAAAACATCAGCAATTAGCCCTATTAAGTCTCTGACACATCAGCTATCTCATCTGCTGTCATCTGTCT